AGAATTCCCAAATATTTTATAAAATTTTTGTCCCAGTCTAGATGGTACCTGGATCGGAGATATTGAGGGGGATCAAAATGAAAACTAAGGACCTGAGTTTTTTTCTTATTTAATTTATAACCTGAGTATGACCCATATTCATCTAAAATAGACATCAACTCCGGCCGAGATTCTGTTGGGTTTGAAAGGCTAACGAGCACGTCATCCGCGAACAGGGACAGCTTCTGTTCACCTGCTGCCGTATTTATACCCTTGATTTTGTTGTTCTGCCTAATCCACTGTGACAATGGTTCAATAAAAATTGCAAATAAGATTGGATTTAGGGGACAGCCCTGTCTTGTTGATCTCTCCAACAAAAATGAGTCTGTGAGCCCCCCGTTGATTTTTAGTTTAGCTGATGGTTTATCGTAGAGGGCTTTTAATGTATTAATAATTACTGGGTTGAAACCAAATTTCTCCATAGCCTTGAATAAAAATGTCCATCTAACTGAGTCGAAAGTCTTTTCGGCGTCTAAACTAACCAACACGGCCTGTTTTTTATTTTGATTTATGTGTCTGATAATTTGTAGGGATTTTCTAATATTGTCATGTGTCTGCGTGCTAAGACAAAACCCATTTGATCCATGTTGATCATTCGGGGTACAATTTTCTCAAGTCTCTTTGTGAAAATTGAAGAAAATAGTTTGTAATCCAAATTAAGTACACTAATTGGTCGGTAGTTTGCGCAGTCTAATTTGTCCTTACTTACCTTAGGTATAACTGATATAATCGCTTCATTCCATGATATCGGGGTTTCCCCTTTTTTCAGGACCCAGTTGAAGGTTTTTAGTAAAATAGGTGTCAGAACCTCCTTCAGTTTCTTATACCACTCTGCACTAAATCCATCTGCACCTGGGGATTTATTGGCTTTGAGTCTTGAGATAGCTGAGTAGATTTCCTCTTTTGAAATTTGAGAAGCTAATAATTTATTTTCTTCCTCCGTGAGTTTTGGTAGATTTAGGGATTTGAATAGTGGCTCCATTTTCTGGTCGGTATTGACTTGAGGTTGTGAATATAGTTTTTTGTAATATGTTTTAAAACAGTCTTTAATTTCCTGAATTTGGTGATAAATTAACTTGGTTTTCGGGTCCCTTATCTTGTATATTGCATTATCTGCCTGTTGTTTTCTCAGTTTATATGCCAATAGTCTTGAATATTTACTGCCCCCTTCATAATATTTTTGTGTATATCAATTTCTTTTGAGTCTCTTGGGAGTATAACTCTTCAATCTGATTTCTTTTCTTTTTTATTTCTATTTTGACCTTTGGGTCTAATGATTCTTTATGTTCAAATTCTAGGTTTTTGAGTTCAGTCTGGAGAGTCATAATTTTTGTTTCTCTTTGTTTCTTAAGAAAAGATGTCACTGCAATCACCCTCCCTCTCATCACTGCCTTACAGGCATCCCAGAGTATGGGTGGAGAAACCTCTCCATTGTCATTAAACTCCAAATATTCTTTAATTTCTTTCTCAAACTGTCCTGTTTGAGAAAGAAATTAGCTTTCTCCTACGGGTCATTTTTAGGGACAGGTAAAGTGGGCAGTGATCTGAAAGGTCCATTGCTCCAATATGGCAGTCTTGTACTTTGCTACGATCTGTTCCAAATATTAAAAAAAATCAATTCTAGAATATGTTTGGTGTGGGGATGAATAGAAGGTATAATCTTTGACTGATGGATTTAGGTGTCTCCAGATATCAATTAGTCCTATTTCTGATAATAGTAGATTCATTTTCTTTGTTATTTTCTGAGGGCGAGATATTCTTATCCCAGTTGAATCAAGGTTTGGGTTAAGTGTAGTATTAAAGTCACCTGCACATATTAAAATCCCCTGTGCTTCAACTGCAATCCTTTCAATTACTTGGGGTTTAAAAATTTGGTTCTGAACCAGGAGGTATATACACATTGTATAGAGTAAACAAATTTCCATCAATTTTGCCACGGATCATTACGAATCTACCTTATCTTACCTTCCTTACCCTAACCCTAACCTGCCCTCCGAGCCCTCCGGTACACCATATACTCGGATGTTGTTTCTTCCGGACCTACTTTCCAAATCGCTGACCTTTTCCTGCAGCCTGCGCTGCTCCCTCAGCAGGCCCAGCAGAGCATCTTTCGTTGCAGCACTGCTTGTTTCCATATCCGAAATGCGCTCCTCTGCATCGTTGATCGCCTGGTCGTGACCCTGGAGCCTGGTCCCGACTTCTGTTAGCTTCCCGTTGAGCTTGTGTCTCAGCGTCGCTAGCTCGTCCTTGAAGTCTTTCTTTAAATGTTCCTTGAGTTCGGAGATGGCAAAGTGAACGTCATTTTTGAAGTCAAGGATATTGTTGGAGATAGTTCACAGTTCCCGAAACAACTTGTCTGTGGATTCACCTCCATCTTTGCTAGATAGCAGATCGCCATTTTCTTCGTCAGTCGGCTCCATTTGTTTTTTGTTGGACTTGTTCATTTACCTTCCCTCTCCAGTTCGTATCGTCTCTTTTTTGTTTCCCCCCACTCATGCCTTGTCTTTCAGAGTTTTCACGTTAAAGTTTTCGAGTTTGAGGGTATTTTAGACAGCGACTGAACAGAGCAATTTACTATGCATCTATCCAGAGCATGGCTTAACCGGAAGTCAGGCAGATTATTTTTGATGAAAAGAAGCTTCTCTGCATTATAAGCTTTGAGCCTGTTTCTGTTTTCATCAACAGTATGTGATACTGAGCTAAACAGCCTTACACTTTTCACACTTCTACATGGTGCTCAGAGGTATCTCCATGACATTTGGGCAACAGTGGGAAACCGCACTTTGTTAACCCTCCAGTACTGCAGTGGTTTGTTTTCCCGAGAAGTTGTGGTCTCTCCAAGGTATGTTTCTAACTGAATAGCAGCACCCATTGGTGCACTGCTCAGTGATGATGATGATGATGATGCTTGCTCATCTATTATCTCTTCAAACGCTCTATCTAGACTGCTGCTGGCCTGGGCCTCACGTCTCTTTCTGGCAGGTGGCTCAACCAGATCCTCCTGCTTGTCTGCCTGTCTTCCAGGCACCTTCTGCAGCTCCAGCATGGCCATCTCTTTGGCCTTTGTAGCAGTGTTGATGTTGGAGGAAAAAAAGATCTTTATTCCTAAAACAGAGAAATATAATATTTTTGTTGGTAACAGTCTGAAATTGTCTGTATGTTGCCTTCTAGTTAAACTATAAGTCAATTTATTATGTCAAAGTTAAATAGATTCTCCAGCGTTTGCAGAGTTGGTTGTTGCTGTTTGCCACTACTAGAGTCTTGCATTAGCAAACTCCTTGAACTAAGACTTGTGTTGGTTCTTGCAATGCTTATCAAATTGCTGGTGTTAAAGGAGATACTTTTCACCCATCCTCTTGAAAATTTAGTAGAGCATAGCTGTCAGTCTGCTCTACCTTTGTCATAATCTCTTATCTTGAAGTATCTCCAAACTGCTGACATTGCACCTACTCTTGCTATCTGCTCAACTGACAAGAGGTTGACGTCAAGTTGCAGTAAAGTGGTATCAGGTGCGGGTGTATCGTAGTAGTTTTATAATTAAGAGTACATGAGCGCAGATTCGGACAGATACCCAATCTAGCGAATGAGAACATAATCACTGGTGGGAAATTGGCGTAACAATGGTCCCGGTTATGTCATACAAATTTGGACCAAACTAGCCACTAGGTGGGTATGTCACATGTTAATTGGTGGTGAAAGACGTTTTACAGTAAAAAAATTTAAAAAAAAAGGCAGGAATGCAAATTAGTTTTCTGAGGGAGAGAAGGACTTTCGCCTTTGTAACCCAGAACTTTAACATGCGCAAACAACTTGTGGCACACTGAAAGAAAAAGTAAAATGTCCTTCCATCCATTATCTATACCACTTATTCTTCTTCAGTAGAGTTGTGGGCTAAAGACGATCTCCAACTGACAATTTTAAAGTCTCAATTTTACCTAACCCCAGTTTGCATGTTTCTGGACTGTTTCTGGAAGCAAGCTGCCGTATGCAGAGAAAACCCACTAGGACATGGGCAGAGAATGCAAAATCCACACAGAAAGGCCTACTGCCAAACCAGGATTCAAACCAACAACCATATTGCTGTGAGGTGACAGGAGGAGAGCATAACATTGGCACTTAAAAAAATACACAGCTGATATCTGATGTTCTTCAAATTGTGCATGTTTGTTGCAGGTGTTAATGTCCCAGAGATTCCCTGTGTTTCCATGCTGCGCCACCTTTACCTGAAGTGGGTCCGTCTCACTAAACCACAACCGTTTAAGGACTTTCTGTGTGTGAGCCTCAGAACCTTTGTCATGCGGAACTGTGCAGGGCCAACCAACTCCCTAAAATACGTTCCCTTGGTTACTGGTTTAGCATCAGCCCGGAACCTGGAGCAGCTAGAGCTGGTGAGAGTTCCCTTTCTGGGAGGGCTGATCCAACATGTCGTTGAGGATAGCTGGAGATCAGGTGAGGATAGCATGTGTTTCTAATCAGCCTGCAGGGTTGGTGTTACCAAAGTAATCTAAATCTCACTGTCAATTGTATTTGAAAATGATGAAATTTGAGTTAATGAATTAAGCACATTTAATTTACTGTAAATAAATGGTTTGTTATCTGTTAAGCTGTGTATTTTTATTCCTAGGAGGATTTCGGAACCTCCACACCATCGTGTTTGGAGCCTGTAAGAATGCTCTGGAGGTGGACTTAGGCTACCTCATTATCACTGCCGCTCGCAGGTGCTCAGCCAGTTTCTTTATCTAACTGAGAAAAAAAACACTTGTTCATATGCAGCTTATGGTTTTAAAGCAACATGCAAATGGTTTTATTCAGGATCTCAAGGGCAGATGTTGGAGATATTGTTTAATTACTGATCAGTCTTTAATAAAGTGAAATGAAGAGTATACAAAGTAAGAGGTTTAAAGACAATGGAGGCAATAGCTCAGTCCATAGCGACTTGGCTTGGGAACCGGAGGGTGGCCGGTTCAAGTCCAGCATGGAAGGAAGTTGGAGAGGTGCCAGTTCACCTCCTGGGCACTGCCGAGGTGCCCTTGAGCAAGGCACAGAAACCCCCAATTGCTCCCCGGGCGCCTTCATGGCTGCCCACTGTTCCGTGTGTGGTCACTGTGTGCATTGTGTTCCATGTGTTCTGTGTGTGCTCCGTTCATACGGATGGGTTAAATACAGAGGTCAAATTTCCCCATGTTTGCATGTTGCATGCTGTGTGTGGGACCATAAAGAAGAATCTTAGTCTTAATCTTAATGTCAGTATATAAGATTAAGACACACATTACACCAGTATTGTGTCTAGGAAAACAATGGTGACCCTTAGGAAACTTTGAAATATGAAAAGCCCTCTCTAAAATCAGTGATTAGTTAGTCTGTTCTGCACTACAGTATAAACATGTATCCCTTTTCTACCAAAGTGAACTGGCTGCCAGTACTGGGCTCGGAGCTGGTTAAACTTTCAAACCCTTTTAGATCCAGTTTGCTTTTCCATGGGCAAGTACTGCCTTAGAGCCATGTCATTACCTCACCATATATGTCACTGTGTACCGCTCAGATTTCCCAGCAACACTTTTTGCCGACAAGCTAGGGACGAATATTCCATCTTCAGTTGTCCTTTAGGCGATTGTTTGCTATTATAATGACGCTCGGATGCTGTCTGCAGGGGTGACTAGAGATGTAATGAGGCAGAGAGTTTAAGCATAATATCAGTCACTTGTAAAAAAGATTTGTCCACTCCCCTGGACATGGCAACATTTAGCCGGTACTTTGAAAAATGTCAAACTGCAGAAACAAAATAATGTCAAAGTAAGGAGGAAGTGTACTACATATATATTCTTTATTTGTAAATGCTTCAAACTAATTTTCTAAATCCATTAGTGAATATCCGGATCTTAAATACAGCAGACTAATTTAACGTGGCAGGTCTGCACCTCCTGTACATTGTGTTAGTACCTGTGAGAAAACTCAAAATACAATACAATTGATGAATGTGACATGTGCTCCTCGCCTTGATTAACTAGACAGATGACTCCTTCCACAGACTGTCATTGAACAATTACTGATTTATTGAGCACCACCACTTTATGTTGACAAAATGAGGATAGGTAAAACTGAATGAAGGAACAATACCTGTCCTATGAAAGGTCTGGCCCACTCATAAATTCTGTTTGTGCTTGTAATAAAACACAAAATACATGAGAATTGGTGAAAGCAACAGGTTCTTACTTATAAACCACTCATATGCACAACTCTGTTGCCACTAACGATTTTTGCATGAGGCCTAATGATTCTTAGTTTCAGGTGATCATACACTAATGACATTTCTGTTATGAATATTTCAATATTTCAGACAGTTTATCCTCCTTAATCTTTTGAGGATATTTTGTGGAGTTTTCAGTAACAAAATAAAGTGAAAATTCATGTAATAGAACACAGCCTTCACTGTTTTTTGTTGTTATCTTTAGCTAACAGTAGAAAGGTTGTCATAATTGTGTAATACAAACACTTATCTAAATTATTTGATTGTCTTTTAACAGGCTTCATGAGTTGCGTATCCAGCCTTCACTGACTAAAGATGGAGTCTTCTCAGCTCTCAAAATGGCTGAACTAGAGTTTCCGCAGTTTGAGACACTTCATCTTGGATACGTGGATGAGTTCCTTCTGCAGTGTTAGTTCCTCCTCTCACATATCATTACAGGACTCTGAGAACATTTGGCAGTTTTCTTTTCCCTGCCACAAATGAAAACATTTCACGCCCAACATAATATTTTGAGTAAAAATGCAAGAATTACCCATTTCAAGATTCAAGATTCAAGATTGTTTTATTTGTCACATTCCACAATCATACACAGTACAATGCTTAGTGAAATTGTTTTTGTTCCTGCTACCAGAATAATACATTTGTAAGTCCCTCCAGGTTCTCCTGCAGTTTGACTATACCCATGTCAATTTTCCTTGAACATTGTGCTTAAATTTGTGACCAAGTTTTCATACCGATAAATGGTAGCAATGGTAAAAAAATCTCGAGTGCAGTAAAGATGCAACATTTTGAATTTAATCTGCAGTTGTTTTAATAAAACTTGTATATGTTTTGATTGCAGGTAAGATGAGTCATTCTGAGCTTTTGAAGTATGGTCTGGCTGATGTCATTGAAAACCCAGGCATCATTACTGATATTGGCATAAAGGTAGTGAACGAGGTGTTCACTAATATTAAATACTTGCTCATCTACAACTGTCCTCACCTGCATAATCCTCACCACTGGATCACAGGTAAAGTACACTCTCATTACCTTAATGTTAATGTACATGAGTATGTTTGTGGGTATCTCAGTTTGTTAATATATAAAAGAGGGTTCTGAATATTTTGCCTGTTTCTGTGCTCAGATCAGTCCAGATGGAGCCGTCTCGTTGATCTCACCCTTGTTCGCTGTCATGCCATCAAATTGGAATCCTTCTCCCAGTTTATAGAGTTACTACCCAGTCTGGAGTTTATCTGTCTAGACCAGATGTTTAGAGAACCACCAAAGGTATAATGTCTGTTCATAGACACACACATATATGTGTGTGTGTCTAAATATATATATATATATATATATATATATATATATATATATATATATATAGACACACACTGCACACACACTTAAATCACACATCAGATCTTGATGAACAAAGTAGTCGAGTTGAAAATCTTAAGTGACACATTGTATAATTTGTAACGGTCAATAGAAATCATAACCATCAACCCATTGAGGGCTGGATTCACACCACACCGAAAATGAAAGTAAAAAAAATGTAATAATAGGCTGATCCAACTTACGGGAATTTCATCTTGGCAGCTCATAATGTGATTCAGGAGTGATTATTACACGATATATTGAAAATGTATCGTCATCACGATATCAACGTATGGCAAAAGACAGCCTGAACTGCATTTACACTCTACATGTCAATATATTTGGCCAATCCGATGGATTTACCTTGATGATAAATATAAGATATTCACATCAGTGTGGGTTTTTTCCGACAATGAATCTTTGTCAGAAGAGGAAAATAAAAAGAGATTGGGGAAAGAAAGCGAACTGCGAGGCGCCTCTCTCAAATCCTGCTCTGACCCCAATATAACTCCGTAGATGGACTTAGTGGAGCTGTGCATGGCTCTCTGGTGCCTGCCCTGGATTTGGGACTGCTGTGGCTGGGCTGTGCATCTTCTCTCAGGATGTGAAGCTGTCTGTGACCCCTGCATCCGTAGCCAAGGACTGTTTATGTTTATTTATTGCAAGTCATATCATCATCGACAAGGTTGCATATCGCATGTTTTCCTAATATCTAGTGTGTATGGTCTGTATATACCCCTGGCTCCTGAAGAGTTGGTGGATGGTGTCCTGGGGGATCTCCTCCCAGACATGAGTCTGGGCATCAGTGAGCTCCTGGAGAGTCTGTGTTGGTACTTGGCGGTACAGTGTCGGATGCACATACGTAATGTCCAGTTGGTGCTCAATTGGATTTAGGTCAGGGGAACGTGAGGGCTTGTCTATGGTTTCAATGCCTTTGTCATCCAGGAACTGCCTATACACTTTGGTCATGTGAGACCGGGCACCAGCAGGAACCCAAGGACCACTGCACCAACGTAAGGTTTGGCAATCATCCCGGTACCTAGCAGCAGTCAGGGAACTGTTTGCATAAGACATGGACCATCACTGACCCACCTTGAAACCGTTCATGTCTGATTATGTCACAAACAGCATATTGTTCACCACGGTGTCTCCAGAATCTTTCAAGCCGGTCACATGCTCAGTGTAAACCTGCTCTCATCTCAGAAGAGAACAGGGTGCTGTGATTTCGCCTCATATTTTCTGGTTTTGTTTGCATTCCACCGCAGGCACACGTGCAGGACGCACAACGCAGGCTCGCCGACCAGATACTGTGTCTGGAGCGGACCAATCGGACTCCTTGGTTATTGTCCTCAGCAATTTTAACAAAGGACATCTAAGCCACAAAATCCCTAAATATTGTACTGTGGAAGACCTTCAAGTGTGTTTGGTCTGCACTGACTGGGATGTTTTCAGGTCTGCTACCAACTGCCTGGATGAAGGAGGCTGTGACATCATCAGTTTCTGTAAGGACTGCTATATACCATCATGTACCAGGGTGAGTTGCCAGCAAAACGCAGACAGTTGAAGTTGGTGAAGGAGAAGGCTTTTAGAAGTGCAGATAGGGACCAGTTTAAAGACTCCAAGTACAAGTTTAGCAGGGCGGTAAGAGATGCTAACTGACATCTCTTTAAACCAATCAGTTGTGTTGTCGTAGCTAAGCTCAGGATGCAGTGACCAGCAAGGCAGTGGGGTGGGGGCAAATTTTCTGCCCGGACAAAACAACAGACAAAGAATTATTGAGTACAACTTTCAGCTTGAAGGCTTCTCTTGTTGTTTCCTGTTACAAATGTGATGGGGGTAGAGTAGTCGTCCTCCAACCCAAGTGTCCTTGGGTAAGATGCTGAACCTCGAATAGAACTATAAGTGCTGCTAATAGATGCACTGTATGAATGTGTGTGTGAATGGGTGAATCGGAAAACTGTACTTTAAAGCGCTTTGGTCATCAAGACTAGAAAAGCAAAACAACTCAGAGAAACCCCCAACACCAGTTCTCCAATGACTCTGTTTCTGTCTCAAAATGGCTCACACAAGGTCTGGCCAAACAGAGTTATACTGTCGTTTTCCTACCCTATGACAACCATCCCCCATCCAAGAGCATCACCAACACCAGCTCAGCAGGGGTCTGTGACACACCTACCCACCACAGTGCCCCCTTCTCCCTCTACCAAAGTGCCACCCCTTTCCATCCTGGAGAGGGACATTAACAAGCTCTTCAGGAGGCAGAACCACCCATAAAGCAGCTGGTCCTGAGTGTGTCTCCCCTTCCACCCTGAGCCGATCAGCTGTCTCCAGTGTCCACAGACATTCTTAGCACCTCACTGAAGACATGTCAGGTGCCAGCCTGCTTCGAATCTCCATCCCCAAAAAAACAAGGACTACAGGACTTAATGACTACAGATCCATTGCCCTGACTTTTGGGGAAATGACGTCTTGTTCTTTCCCATCACAAGGACATCACCAACTCCCTGCTAGACCCTCTACAGTTTGCGTACAGATCTGTAGACAATGCTGTAAACATGGCTTTCCACTTCATTCTCCAGCACCTGGACACCCCAGAACCTACGCATTCATACATCTCCAGGACCCTGAGACAGGTGCAGGTAAGATTGTAGCTGACCCCTCACACCCTGGACATGGATTCTTAAAGCCACTTCCCTCTGGGAGCAGGCTGCGGGCCATCAGGACCAAAACCTCATGCCACAAAAACAGTTTCTTCCCTTTGACCTACCTGGGATGAGGGTAGACAGGGACATTGTACAGAGTGGTAAGAAGGAGGGAGAAGGGATTGCACTGTTTGTGAGTGAAAGAGGGTGTTATCATGGACATATTAATCAAAAGGAGTGTCTCTGTATCTCGGACATTGAACTGCTAGCAGTGGGAATGTGCCAATATTATTTGGAGAAGGAGTTCACATGTGCCATCGCTATCGCTGTTTACATGCTATCCCAACAAGGCCTAGATCTCTACTGAGCTGAAAGTTCTTCTCAACTAGAAGAAGAAAGTCTTTAGGTCTGGGGACAGAGAAGAAATGAGGATCATACAACATGACCTGACCTGAGGGGAAAGCTAAGGAAGTGCAAAGACTCCTACAGGAGGCAGCTGGAGGCCAGGGTCCAACAGAACAATGTGAGGGATTTGTGGACTGGAATGTGGGAAATAACTGTGTTCAGGCGAGAGACAGACAGACAGACAGCCAGGAAGCAGCCTGGAGACGGGCAAATAAGCTAAATTTGTTCTTCCAAAGGTTCAGTGCACAGCCCTCAACTGTCCCCCTACCACACTCCCAGACTTCCACACACCCTCACTGATCACAACGCTTCTGCTGTTCCCCACTCTATCCACCCTTGTGTGCTCCTTGGACTTAACCCCCCCCCCACCTTCAAAGTGCAGCTTTTCCAATGAAGGGATTAACACCTTCCCCCTCCCCCACCTTTCTGTTACATCTGGCCAGGTGAGGTGACAGCTGAAGAGACTTTGTCAACGCAAGGCCCCGGGACCAGACGGTATCAGCCCAAGGGTTCTGAGGTCCTGTGCCAGGCAGCTAGCTGCTATTCTCCAGTATCTTTTCATGATGAGAATATACCAGTGCTGTGGAAAACTTCCATCCTGGTTCCAGTCCACAAGAAGATGACTCCATCTGGCCTCAATGACTTCTGACCTCTTGCCCTCACATCTCATGTGATGAAGGTACTGAAGATACTGGTCCTGGACCACCCCCGACCTCAGGTGAAATAATAGCCGGACCCGCTACAGTTCCTGTACCAGCCTTATTTGGGAGTGGATGATGCAATTATCTCCCTGCTGCAGTGAACCCCCTCACATTTGGATCAGACTGGTCACTGTGGGAATCACATTCTTTGATTTTTCCAGTGCATTCAATACCATCCAGCCAGATCTTATGAGGGAGAAGCTGCAAGCGATGGGGGTAGACACATCCACCGTCTCCTGGATTACTGACTGAGTTGCCCATGCTTGCTCGGTGTGGAACAAGTTGGATTTTGTCTTTTTTAAGATCTTGGACTTTTGTGCAGGACCCTGAGACAACTGTTTGTTGTCATACCGTGCTATATAAATAAATGTGATTGATTGACTATCTGACAGGCAGTTTGTCTGGCTGGGCAGTGTTCTGTCTGAAGTGCTGGTGAGTACTTCACAGGGGACTGTACTGTCGCCCTTCCTCTTCACACTTTACACCTCTTTCTTTCAGTACAACTCAAAGTCATGCCACTTATAGAAGTTCTCTGATGACTCTGCAGTGGTTGGTTGCATAAGTGATGGGAGGGAGGTTGGGTACAAAGCACTAGGGGAGCGGTTTTGTGGAGCCCAGTACCTGGACGTCCACATTCACAACAGACTGAAGTTTAAAACTGACGCTGTTTACAAGAAGGGGATAAGCAGACTCTATTTCCTGTGGAAGCTGAGATCTTTCAACGTGCACTGCAAGATGATGTTGGAAGTCTTCTATCAGTCTGTTGTAGCCAGTGCACTGCACTTTGCTGTGGTCTGCTTGAGGAGCAGCATTGGAGCCGGTGACAGGAACATACTTAGCAAACTGATTAAGAAGGCTGGCTTCGTCATTGGCTGCAACTGCGGACTCTTTTGAAGTGGTGGTGTAGAGGAGGGCACTAAACAAACTGTTATCCATCATTTACAATCACGAACATTGAATACCACAAGGAAAGATGACCTGAATGGTTCCGAATTAAAAAGCAGTATGTATTATGGCCCTAAAACCATTCTTTTCTTTATTAATCCAGAGCCGTATTCTGGACTCAACTCAAACTGATAGGGAGCTAGTGTAAAGACCTGCAAATTTGATTGATGTGATCTACTTTCTTTAATCTCAAGTAGAAGCAGTCTGAATCAACTGTCTCATCCATTTTTTAGATAGACCAGTAAGCACAGCCTTAGTGTGAAGTGGATGGAAGTTAAAAGCATGGATGCTTTTCTCCAAATCTTGCTGAGACATAAGACCTTCAGTCTGACTGTGATAGTCTTAATGTGACTGTTAACATTCTGCTACAACAATATTTCTGCCTTGATTTGTGATTCTTAACTTAATAGAACCTGAATCATAATTGATCCTCCTTGTTCCCAGAAACATTTACCTCAGATTTATCTTTGTTGAACTTAACATAATTCAATTAATAATGGCACCCCCACGTGTCTAATGCAACACTGAGATCCAGTCATACGAAGATGAAGATGAATTTAAGTGGATGTCATTAAATACCTTAATGAGAGTGCTCAGTGCTTTAGTGTGGTCACATTTCCCTTTTGAAAACATCAAAACAGGCAACTTTCTCACTAAATTTGCTAAATTTTAGTTCAATCTACATCCTTCTGATTCACATGAAAGGACTTCAACTTTGTATATAAATGAGATTATTTTGAAGCACATGCACGTTGCTTAATGATGAGTTGGCAACAGTACTGCATCTTACTGATTTGCCAGCCTGCTGTGACTGAAACACTCACTTTAATTTAATTAACAACTTAAATGTATTAATTAACAAAGAATGAGCCCAACAGTCTTCTTATGAAACCACATTTAAATTCACTAGATCTGGATTTTTATTTGGATTTGCATGAAATTGCTCACAAATAAATATCACCCCCTTCTTTTTCATCAAGATACTCAAATTATTACATCTGACAAGGTTATGTTTTCAATTGCATTTGTTTGAAATCAATAAAAAAAATTAGAAAAACATAGAAAATCCCCTTTTTTGCAATGTCACGAAACATATTTGTGGAGGATATCAGAGGACATTTAGGCTCAACCCTACAGGAGCAGTATGGAGGCATATGCATTTATTATTTATTTTTTTACGTTCACCACGTTTTATGGTCACCATTTACTTCAATTGTATTGGATTTGGCTGCAACACTGTTTACTGCTGAAACCCAAAAAATGGATTTGTGGACCTCCATCGGCATAGTGATAAGTAGATGAGTGAATTTTCAGTTTTGGGTGAAATACCCTTTTATGATCTGTCACCGATCCTATCTGCACTAAAATTTTACAAGTTCTTCCCTGACCCATACCACTAGTTTCGTGGTGATCCCTCCAGTAGTGTTAACATTACCCTGCTGACTAACACAGATAAGGCCAAACAAACAAACCAAGATGAAAACATAACTGCCTTGGCAGAGGAAACAGCATTAAACGAAACAAATCATATTTCATGTGAACAATTGATGTCTGGCTCAAACCTAATCTGCTTAATATGTTTGTTGCATGTGCTGATACATATTATATATTATTTGTATGTTAGGGCTGTGCAAGGGTGGGCCTGAGTGCAGGAACTGGTATTGGCGTGTCTTCGGCATTGGTCAGCAACCAGAACTCCAACAATGACAATGAGAACAACAACCACCACAATAATGAGGCCAACTTGCCCCCTGCCCCTCCACCTGTCAACAACAACCAAAGGCAGCAGCAGAACCAGCTGCAGCAGCATAATGGCAAGTTCCGACTGCATTGTTAGTCAGTAGATTAACAGCAACCAGAACACAGCAGCTGACTTCCGTCGTAGATGGTGGCTTTCTTACAAAAAACTCACCTGTCTGAAATTATTAGCTAAGATAAAGTAAGAAAATTTTACGTCAATCATGCACACTGACATTGTTAACATTAACATAACATAATCACACACACGTTATTGTTTTTTCACAAAAAATGTGTCAGCAGTTTTTGAGAGCATGTTAATAGGCAGATAAACAAATAGGGCCAGGACATTATCTGCTGTGTTAAAGTAAGAAAATATATATATATATATATATATATATATTTTTTTTTTTATTACAAAAAACTCCAAGGCACTCTCTCTCTCAGACATGGAGTTATGCCCTAAAGGGTGTGGGCACATACAACTCCAGCAGATGGTGATGTTTATCTCAACATGTTAATCACAAAATAATCAAAGCAAAGAACAACATAATACATGTAGACATTGACTTTGGTAACAAAACACAAATACAGTTAAATGTTTATAGAAGAAATCTAGATCCTCATTTTAGCCTGGGTATTTTGTAGCCTTTAATTTATGTAGCTTCCCCTTGGTTAAGTTTACTTTTTCAAATTAAAACAGGGACGTGGTCAATGCCAAAGGCTTGCAGTGTGAATGGATGACTGTTAAAGTCCAAATAATGTCTAGGATAGTTGACATTACCTGTGCGAATGGCATATTTGTGTTCTTCTAGTCTGTCCTGGAAACATGTTTTTGTTTTCCCAATGTAATAAAAAAAATTATGGTAAATTCCTTTTGAGTTGTACAGTCCATAATTGTCTTAGTCTGCTTGACATTTGTGCAGTGGTTGCAGTGGTTAAATTTGTAGGACCCCTTAGGTTTTGACCAAACCATGTTGTTCAGTTGAAGATAGCTGTGTACCAGTTTATCCTGTATTGTCAGGCATCTCCTGGAACTGTTCTTTCATCAATTATAAAAACGTTGTTTTATAGTTATTTTGTAATGATTGATGGTGAATTTCTTTTAAGTTGTAAAGTCCATAAATGTCTTCATCTGCATGACATTTGAGCGTTGGTTGCAGTGGCTACATTTGTATCCTGTATCTGTCTTTTCTCACTTTGGGGCAGTTCTTTGTAGTCAAGTTTGTCTGTCTAGATGTTTGAGTACAGTGAGTTTTTTCAAAACACAGTACAGAGGCAGAACACATTAAACAGATAATAAACCAAAATTGGGTGATGAAATGTTACACAAGATCTTCCCCGAACCACAATTGATCAGTCTCAGGAGCCCAACAACACAGGATACAAATACCACTGCAACCACTGCACAAATGTCAAGCAGACTAAGATATTTATGGACTTAACAACTCCGAAGAAATTTACCATCAATCATTAAATTCACTATAAAACAACATTTGTAATCTATAGACTATAATGTCTTAGTTTCCAAGTTTTTTACATCAGGGGAACAAAAAGATCTTTTCCAGGACAGACTAGCAGAACACAAATATGCCATCCGCACAGGTAATGTCAACTATCCCATGGCTATACATATCCATAACAGTCATCCATCTACACTACGAGTCTTTGGCATTGACCACGTCCCCATTTCCATCTGAAAAGGTAACAGACAAAGTAGAGCAGTACAGGTTCACCCAATATGCACACTACGCACGTTGCGTAGGGCCCCGCAAACTAATAGAGGCCCTGTGAAGAAGAAAAAAACCGTGACGACGTGACCGTTCGTCGCGAACGTCAGATTCCCAGTGCATGTGCATCAGCCTAGCAAGATGCAGCGGAGTTATCCCTCGGGGACTGAAAACAAGAGGAAGAAACAGCATGAAAATGAACTGCGGGAACAGCAGTCAGGTAACTCTCCTCACCAGGTGGGAGAGTGGGAGGGACTAGTCCGCGTTTAACCGACATTAACAGGGCGGTGAGCCCTGGGTGAACCCCGCTCTCCGTGTGCGTCTTTCTGGCTTCTATAATTTTAGTTGTAGTATAGTTACAAATGCACTGATACAAAATGGAAAGTAATGGTTAAATATTGACTAAGATTGAATTTTGTTTGCTTGGATAGCCCACAGGCAGATATAGATGCAGATATCTTGGTGAATAAATACAACTCGTGAAATATTATGACAATGGTGCTAAATAAATCCATAAATTCCCAGGCTTAAATGGAGATCTAGATTTGAATGTTTTTCTATAAATATTTGTTTTTTGTAACCAAAGTCATTGTTTATATTGTGCTTTAATTATTTTGTGATTAACATGAGCCAAACATCACCATTTCCTGGAGTTTTTATGTGCCCACACCCTTTAGGCCACATTCCATGTCTGAGTGGCAAAATAGAACTGTTGTTTAAGGTGATCTATTTGACTCCCTGACGAAGGCTACATGCTGAAAAGCCTCTGAGCTTTGTTTTTTTTTTTTAGGTCCACTGACCATGCCATGACAATAAGGGCATTTCAATAGCTACAAAGAGAGAGCCTTGCAGTTTTGTGTAATTTTTATCCACATGTATCCTGATGCAAAGAGCACCTCAAACCAACTCAATTTGAGTCCCACAAGTGCTCCCTCTTAAAGTTTTTTAAAGATCTTCTGTTTGTGTTCACAGCACCAGTTGAAGTTAATGGGATGGAAGATGAGGAAGAAGAAGAAGAGGAGGAGATGATCTTGGAGGAAGACAACATGGAGGCTGAACCACAGAAAGAGGTGAAAGTAGCAGAAGGGGAAGTGAGAGTAGACGATGCTGACGTAGCTCCAGGAAACAGTCGTCCAGCTGGAACACCGCAACCTCTTGATGAAGAGCAAGCAGGTTTGGTGCTACTTTATGTTCAGAATCAGCAGAGGTTAAAATAGTTTTCCTGTTCTACACTTTTATCACCATTTTATAAATAAGAAATGTATGTCCTTTGCACCTCCAGGTCCCAGTGGTTTAGTACAGCAGTGCAGACCAGCTAGTGCTGTTGTTCCCAAGCCCCAGCTGGTCATCTCAGACTCGGACAGTGAGGAAGAGGAAGGTCTTGTTTCAAGGCTGATGCCAGCTTCCTGTTTGCAGCAGCCAGCATCCTTTACAGAAGGTGTCAGCACAATATAGAACAGACCCATTACTCATAACAGTAGGCAGGTGTCCATCCATTTGAAAGACAAAGTGAAAACAAATTTAAAGAAAATCCAAACAATACTAATGAACGTGTTTCCATCTACTAATGCAAAGTTGGTTTATGGGAAAGCTATTTCTCAATTCACTGCCAAGAAACCACTGCAGAAGACAATGATTTGATTAAAAGAGCTGCAGTCAATGAGAAAACATGTGGACATCATGGAAATTTTAGTTAAATGTGTTAATGTGAGGAAGGTTCCATTCTCGTCATTGCTCCACACACAGTTGTCACAGAGCTATCTGACCTAATCCACTTAGTGATTCTCATTGTTTTTTTATCCACACAACAATGCTTACACCTCAGCCAAGTGCAGAGCTTCTCTTGTGACATAGTGAGATTTTATTGTTTGCTCTCAGGTTTCTTTTTTGTGCAAATTGAAACTGCAACAGTTGCACGTAAAAAGAGATCATCATCTGTCATCTAAATTTCAAATGGTTTCTAAAAAATGAATGTGGAGCTATTTCTAGACAAGAAATGAATGAAGAGGTCCCTACCAGTTTGACATTGGTGTGTCTGTGTTTTCAGGTAAAGGAAAGACCCCTCTGCGGCGAAGCAACAATGTGGCTCTATCATTGTCAGTCTCAGTGGACAAGACAAAGGTTCAGGTGTCAGAGAGCAGCTGTGAGAAGAGCTGTCAGGTGACCAGTGAGCAGATCAAGGCAGATATGAAGGCTGCTGCAGATAACAGCAGGAGGACAAGCAGTAAGGGAATCATTACAGAGTCTCGGGAGACCACTCCAAGGGCTGACAGTTGGACAGAACAGAGCTCTGGGAGTACTGGTGAAGCAGCAAGGACTGAGCTGAGGCAAGTGACTGGATCTGTTGTCAGAAATGGAGCTGGAGCAGCCACATCCAGGCAGGTGGATGGATGTGGGAGGGTGGTGGTGGGGATGAGCCATAGAACAATTACAACCACTGGCAACCCCTCTGGAACACTGACTGAGGACACAAGGGAGTCTGGGATGCAGCTGAGCTCTAGTCCTTCCAGTGTGGCCAGTTTAGAGCCTAGAGGTGCTGCTGTACACCATGCTTCTAGGAGACCAGCACTGCTGGTTGGACAGGGAGAAAGACAACATGTCCCTGTTACTGGTTCAGGTTCACAACATGCTCCCGCCAATGACGAGGACTTTGTTCCTAGACGACCTTTGACCCGTTCTTGCACACGTATGTCCTCCGTGTCCCTGGTACCTGAGACAGGTAAGACTGAAGTAACAAACATAGAACACACTTAATGTGTCCACTGACATGAGTTAGAGGAATGTGTTGGGTTTAGGGTTTGCAAGGCTTTAGTGCTTCCATGTCAGTGCACATCAGGTTCAGCCCAGTGTAAACTATGATACTTGTGTACAGCCAGTCATTTTATGGATTTCCATTTTACTCTCTGAAGTAATCTCTTACCCCTTTTGAGACTTAACATACAGCTGTCACATGTTGATTTGTAACCCACTTTTAGATCATTACTGCTCTGATTTAGAACATACTTGAAAACAAAAAAAAGATAAATACACCACAAAAACAGCCATGCTAGAAATGTCAATTTTTTGCCGCTGGTCTAGGGAAGACATGGACATAACATATAGTAGACTCATTAGTCTTTGCAACCCCAAGAAAAAGGCAGTGGCAAAATGGCAAAGTTTGTTTAAAAAAACATTAACTCTTACATTTTTATTACATTTGAGTTGATAAATGCAAAAGAACAATCAAACAGGTCACTAATTTTCCATAACTACCTCATGTAGGTCAATAAAACTAAACAAATAACAACCTAAGCTTCTAAACCATAAACAAGGGTAAATGTGACTCTATCAATCAAAAAGACCTCCTTTCTCTTTTTGAGAATGTTGGAAGAAAGGCAGAGGTTGCTGTCAGCTCCCATACTCACGTACACACCCACTCTGGGGAGAGAGTGAAATCTGACTATTTTAAAGAGCAGTAGTTCACAAAAAGACCTAGGAACACCCCCCCACCCAAAAATCAAACATCCATCTCCTAGACAAAAGACCTGGACAGAGAATCAGCCTTTTCGGAACCCTTCTTATAAGGAATCAGTAAGGCTTTTATTGCTCTTCTGCAGTGACTGACCATCTTTACAGGCTGGATAATGTGATGTTGTTGCGACGGTTCTTATGTCTTGAACCAGCATGTGCATCAATTTGCTGATGCTTATCCTTAAGTTTAGTGCATACCAGCTCACCCCTTTTAAAATGACCGACAAGGCATCTTGCCGCAGACACACACTGCACATCGCACTAATGCCCATATATGCTTTTTTGCCAAAATATTCACAGCTGCTATGACATGAGCACCGTTTTTCTGGTGAGATGTCAAATTTGGCAATAACCTCCTCAAGCCACTACAATATTTGCACCCGTGTGTCTCTCTTCAAGGGTCATTGTTGTCAGGCTGTGGGACTGCATTTCCTAATCCCCCCGTGGAAAGTAACATGTAACCCCTACACCTCTGTAGCGAGTCTAGCGACACATGTCCACTCGTGGGTCTAATGCTATCAGTTGTGGTAATGCATCTCGAGGTTAGTTGCCACACGCCAATAAACCAAACAAATAAGAAGAAGAATGGTGTTAGTTTCCTTAAGGGTATTTTTCAACTTGTCTTTTATTTCTTCAAACTTTTTTCCATGATTTCATTAAATAGGTTCTTGAAAGAAGTGTGTAACTGGGATTGAACGTGACAATCATCCTTTAAAAGACTTCATCCTCCACCATGGAGGGTTGTCCTACACCAGCTGACCCTACTCACTGCAACATATCAACTTTATTGGATTGGTGCATTTTAGGCTCCAATTGCGAGTACTTCCACCACCCAATATTTAGCTTTTTGAGGTGTATGTGTGTTAGAATGAAGGAGCGTGTGAAGACTGGACACATAGCCTGGATGCTTTCTGTTGGGGTGCTGTAGCATCAAGTTTGTGGTAGTCAAGTTTTCAGTGCTTTTCAGTTTGAAATGATCCCAATCTTTCATCTATTTTGTCCCTCTCCCTCCATTTTCTTGTTCTTCCTTCTAAACATGAGCTTTGCACAACAGCTATAGCCATCTGTGCAAAATGCACTGGCCAATGAGCAGTAGCAGAGCCTGTCTACTGAAATTCTCTAGCAGTATATGAATTAACAACGCTTCGAAGCAAAGAATTTGAATCAATGATTTTAATAATCAATTTACTTTGAGGATATGGCTGCACCAATTTTTCTTTAAATTAATTGATTCATCTAACGATTATTTTTTTTAATTAGTCTAACAATTATTTTATTATTTGATGTAATGAATTTATCAAACTTGTCATTTCTTTTTATTTAATCTTCTCTTAAATACCGACAAATATGACCAAAAACAAAGTATGCACTGCAAGGCATTATACAACAACAAAAAATAGCCCAGTCTGAACTGCACACACACAGGCCCCCACTCACCCGCTCAGAGAGGCACACACAGTGAGATCAGAGGGGCGTTCACGTGAAGCAGCCCTTAAGTGACTTTTTTGTGGAAACAGTGAAAATGCAGAGTTTCTCTCTGGTCACAGCTGTTCAATAATCAACTCTCACTTTAACTAATTCACACTCATCACTAGTTATCAGGACCTGATCAGTACATGTAGTAACTTAGTGTCTGTTTGATTTGCTCCAGAATTTATGAGACTGCAATTAAACATCATGAAAAATGTCAACATTTTGTGCTCAGTACAACAACACAAGACGTGACGTGAAAAGCAGGACTCCGTGTCAAGGTGACGAGAGCGACTCACAGACATGATCCGACACCATCGATTAATAACTAAATACTCTCTCGCAAATTTGTCACCTAAATCCTCCAAATAAAAAATTGAATAAATTAACGTGAACTAGTTCATTTTTATCTGCATGAACTGAACTGAAATAGTTATTTTTAAGTGTGATCTGGCACAACACTGTCCGCCCCCAACCCACCAATACACCAAGCCAAACTTTGCCTTTTGTCAATTAATTTCTATTTATCATATTAAAGTAAAAACATTTTTGCTAAATTAACTCTTCTAAAGGTAAGCCATGCATTTAATTCACTTTATGCCAGCATTGGCTTTCATGATTATTAAGCAAAATGTTTAAATAGTTTTTTGTCTGTATGAATTTATTCAGCAAGTATGTAGTCTATTTCGAATGATGTTCTAATGACGCACACAGTGCAGTGTGTGTGAGGAGAATAAAACCAATGTCTTCTCTTTTTAACTACATTTCACATATAAACAATCTCAACAAATATTAACAACGAAACAGCTAATACAGTCCTTTTCTCTTTGTTGTCCACATTCTTTTGTTCAGTGAGAGAAGTAAAGTCTTCTTTGTGCTGCCAGGATTTACTACCGTAAATGCGAGAAAGGTGAGCAGGTTAAAATAAAAACGCTACATCAGAATCTAATTATAGGTCTGGATCTGTATAGAATGGCATCTAGGTCCGCCTATTGGTGACCTATGCCTTAGATGAGCGTAGACAGTTTTTTTCCGCTTCAGCTTGCTCTTCGGGTGAATCCATGCTTTGATTAGACACAGCACGTTATGCATTTTGACATTTTTGTAATCGTTTACGTTGACATGTAGCCCCAGCCCTACTTGGAGTTTCAGCCCTATTGCATATGCAGTGAGGACAAATGCTCCGCTAAACAGCTGTGACACTGACAACCATGCTCACCGTGACCAAACACAGTCAAAAACACATAACTGGACATAACCAAAGTATCTGCAGCTGACTGAAATGCTATTTTATGCTAACAAAACAAACAATATGTCATGAAAGCTGAGACTCTACAGATGGCAACGGCATATTAATCTAGGTTATAACAAATCATACCTGTTTGAGCCAGCAGCTGAATAAGGGTAAAAATAATGTTTACTGCAAACAGAAATGTACATAAATCATGTCTTACCTTTGCTGTTTTCTCAACATCTTCCATACTACCAATACTATGCACTCCTGGTGAGGATCGATTCTGGTGCCGATAATATTGATATAAATGGATTTGTTTCAGTTTCTGTCTTCCGTATCCACGTTTAGAGGAAAAGAGCTGTCTAAACACATAATCTTGTGATGCACGGGTGTATACCTGCTCTCTCCTCCTCTCCACTACTGTGTCTGTGTTTTGGAGGAAATTTGACTTTGCAAGACTTCTAAAATAAAACTGACCATAATGGTCTTACATTCTTGTGAAAGTGAACGTACATTCTTTGGCAAAGAATGTCAGACAGATCCTAAAGCATGCGGACATGTAAAGATGGAACAGCCAAAGAAACATTTCCGGGAGTGCTCTTTTATACAGAAAAAGGTGATGTACTGTATGTGCGTAAGAAGCAGATGTGTGTGTGTATGAAGTAAACCCCCTGAAGATAAGATTGGAGGAGACAGAACAGTGATCTCAGAGACATGCACTTAGTGAATCTAGTAGATAAACATCATGATAAACATGAGACAGGTCACCAACAGACATCTTGTTAGGTCAAACATGGTACGTTCATCTTGTCACACATGCTATGCATAAGCACAGATAATAGTGTGGTTACGTAAGCATGCATAAGCAGAGATAATACAAGGTATAGTATGATTATACAATTTTCCATTACAGTGTGTTCAAACATGAAGCGAATTACCGAAGCAAAAAATTTCAAGTGTGTGCAGCTACCTCTGTGCTACTAGCCGGCAGCTCAGGTAGTGAGGGTAGTTCAGTGCACGCAACAGTGCGCTCTGTCCCCCGCATCCCTCACGACGTCAGAGAGGATGCTGATGGTGACAAAGATTCTGCCTCTGTATAACAATATAAAGTGAACTATAACCACAATAAACTTCATCCACAGTGAGCACTTTTTAATGGCAGAGCCTTTTAAATCATGTAAATGACATGCAGTGCAGTTATTAGTTAGCTATGCAGTTACATAGTAATATTTGTAATATTTGCAAACTGCCCCATGAGAAATAATTTTAATGTATGTGCAAATACTATTGCCCTATTTTTTGTCATGATATCAATGATATTGTGACGTAGTGACATATGCACATTTACGTTCCTTAGTGCCCACAACGTCACAACCCGAACATATCTGAGAGCAGCCGGTCTCCTATGACGATTTCCCTGAAAAGGAGCTGCTTCAATAGTGTGGAAGTGGTTTGACTACAAGACGTCAGACTTCCAACAAAGTGCAATACATTGCAAAATATAC